GAAACAATTCTTTGCTCACTCACAGCCCCATACTTTTGCTGCAGGGCTCCTTCATCATCATTACCACCAGATGTCACAAAAGCCTTCCAGATTATCAGGGGCCCAAAAAATGATGCAGGAAAGCACTATGACTTAGGAATAATAAATAACATTTATTTAGGGCTCACTATGAATACAGTATTAAAATGTTCCTTCCTATCCATGTAATCATCACAATCTCTTTATGAAACGAGTATTGATGAATTTCATCTGTATCCAAAATAAAGTCTCCAGCAGGTTGTGACATTTTGGTGGCTGTATTCTTCTGACTTTAGGTTTGTCTTGATACCAGGCATAAGGCAGTTCAACATCAGGCCCTGGCCCTAAACAGCTTACCATGCCAAGAACTGGCAGATTACTACTTTGGTTTCAGTTGGTGGTCAAAAAGGGTTGTTAAGGTAAAGCTTGTAAAATTAATTTGACTAACCACACTCATTATAATCCTAGACTTTAAACAGGATTGAACTGGGTTGTGGGGAGTACATGTAAGAGCCCACCTACTGTTGAGGGTGAGTGGATATATCTGAATTGGCACACCACCTAGAATTAATAATAATAATTTCATACTTCATGGTGGAGCCCATGTGAGGTGTGTAATAAAAAAAAGTTAGCTATACTTAGTAATTTATTTGCAAATCTTACTTGGTATTGAAACTATAGGACACTTCAACTGTTGTGATTCTGGAGTTCAGTTTTTATTTCTCTACATTAAAATTGTAAGGGGGGGGTCAGGGATGTGGGCTCAGTGGTAGTGTGCTTGCCTAGCATGTGTGAGGCCCTGGGGTTGATCCCCAGCACCACAAAAACAAACCAAAACAAAATCTCAGGAAGGATCTTTGATTCAAAATCCTAACAGCTTCAGAGATTTCTGACATTGAAAAATGGGAAAGTGAAGATCTTGGAGCACCACTTAAGAAGCCAAGCCTGAAGCTCTTCTGCACTGCAGAAGTGGTACTGCCACCCTGTGACTGCAGGAATCCTGGAGTTGGCATCGGGGAGGAGCCTCTGGATGAACTGGAGGAAGGTCTGTTCTCAGTGCAGGGAGGGGAAGAGGAAAAGGATCTCTCATTTTTTCCTTTCTAAAACTTACTTTTTAGCTACTTCTTAGGCCTATCTCTTGCTAAGCTACTAGAGTTCTGGGTAGAGTTTCTGTGCCTTACATCACAGGTTTTCCCTTTAGGCAACACCTGACAGTGTTTCAGTTTCAAATGTGAGAGCAGACTTCCTGCCAAGAAGCTTAGGAGGACAAAGGAAGTAGAGTTTCTCTAATTTTGGTTAAGAACTGAACTTGCCTTATGCTAAAATAGTTGTTCTTTGTAGTCATCAGTTATCTCAGCAAAATCACCATCTATTGATTTCCATAAACTCTTGGGTAAATGTTCAGTTCTTTGCCTACTCATGAAAGGGCTTGAGCAGAAAAAGGCAAGCATGGATACCTAGAAATGGTTGTCTGATTGATACTGAGTTTTTTCTAGAACCCATGGCCCTTGAGCTTTAGGGTTTTAAGTCAGAGGCACGGCTGCTAGCAAATGCAGCAGAGCAGGCTCCAGTGGCTAATGCACAGGTAGGAGCAGAGCATCTGTTCTCCCACCAAACCTCTCTCAGTGTATGTGATGCAAGAAGGCAAGGGTCTGTAGGGGGCAGAGCTTCCACTTGCCAGTTGGAAATCAGTGGCCTTCAGTTTCAATGAAACAATAAAGTTACTGTGAAAAGGTAAATGGGTGAAAATGTGGATTTCTAAAACACTCCATATTATGCTTTCATTCACTACATTATTTCAATAACGATGGTCTTGTGACATTTGTGAGAAAGGTGACTGAAAATATTGTCTCTGTTGACCAAACGCCTAATGCTCCTAGTTTGCTTTGAAGAAAGTTGTATTGTGTGTAGATACATGATGCAGTTTCTGCCAATAAAAGTTTCTAATGCTTTCTCTAGAGCTGTGCGCATTGTGTCCAGTGGATTTTTGGTTGGCAAGGAGTACAGAATTGCCCCTTGCTTCTTTGTAAGGTGTCTACTAGTCCAGTGGTCTCTCTAACAGTTTTGAACTCACTTTGCCCCCATCCCGTGTCTTACTATTCAATCTTTGAACATTTTTGAATCCAACTTCCTGTCATTCTTAGTTCTTGTTCCTAAAATTACAAAGTTTTTTGAACCAAACAGAGTTGATATTTCATATGTGTTTTTAAACACGTGTTTATGTTAGAAATTGTAGTGTAAAATGAGGACGTTTTTAGGAAAATATTTTCCCTTCCTGCTTTTTGAATTTCAAGGACCATCTCATGCCAGACATGCTGATGTAGGTCTGTGATCTCAGCATGGGGAGGCTGAGGCAAGAGCACTGTGAGTTCAAGATCAGCCTGAGCTACACAATGAGACTCTGTCTCCAAGAAAAAAAAATTAAAATTTAAAAAGAATGACTCATTATTGGGTGCTATCATTATATGCAGGATGTTTAGAACAAGGAAATTTCTCAATTTATTTCAATAGTGGTAAAAGAGCTGAAGAATACAGACCCACTGAAGAGACAGTAGATGCCAGAAGTGAAGAACTGCAGGAGTTAATTCAAGTATGTGGAGAGGAAAGCTCAAGGGTTCCTTAGCCAGTGTAGCCATGATTGAAAACAGCCAACAGGATTTGGAGGATTTGCTCATGTATCATTCTTAGCAAATGGGAAACTCTGAAACTGAATTGAATGCGGGGATTTCTGGGGCTTTTCCTAAATGTCCAGCCTTGAGTCTGAGTTCATGTTTGAGGTATGGAGAGCAGGACTGAGGCCTCTGAGTACTAGTACAGTTTTGGACCCAAGAGAGGAGCTAGGCTCCCTCTGCAGTAGTTTGAGAGGCCAGGATGCTTGAACATAAGTCTTTTTTAGAACTCTTCCCAACCAGGATCCCAGGGATTAGGAACAAAGTAAGAACTTCAGCCTTATGCCATTATGTTACAGATGTGAAAACCACTATGCCTTTCAACTTTGTAGGACTGCCTAAATCTCAGTGTCTCCCCATGTCTCAAGGAGAATATTTTGCCTTCCAACGAAGCTTTCTATAAATCAATTATATGAAAGTCCTTAATCAGGGATTACATAGCCAAGGTAATTTCTAGAAGGAAATAGACGTTACTTACTATGTATAGGATGTTTTAAAAGGGGAGGAGCAAAAAGTGTGTTTCGTGCCAGTGGGAACTTAGGGGTTTTTGATCATTTAATTTACCCTGAAGTTGTGAAGTATTTTGTCTTGAAATGGTGAAGACAGTGTGGTTGCCTTCTTGATATGCAGGTGATATGCAGGAATTTTCAGGTGTTGAGGGTTCTTGGTCCGCTCTGAGATAGAAATCAAAGTGGACTCAAGCAGCAAAAGTCAGAACGATTTTATTTGTAGAGAAGGGAAAGGCTGCATGGGGGCATGCAGCGGACCAGGTTGGAAATTGGGTTTTATAGCTTTTTTTTTTTTAATTGACCGAGGGCGGAGGTGTCTCTCTGGTGCAAACAGATGTTTCCTGGAAAGGAGAAGTGTCTCCCTGGCTAATTACCACCTTTAGGGACCTCCTGCAGTCTGCCCTTCATTCTGAAAAAGTATTCGAATCTTTTCCCATGTAAAATAATGATTTTAGTTCAGTTTAAATGAAACCAGTCAAGGACACTTCACACTTTAGGAGGCCTAAGCTTCCTGTGAAATGAGAAAGAAGTTAGCATTGATTGCAGAAATCTGATTAGAACAGATCCGTCCTTAAATGAGGTGACTTTTGGAATCTGTTCCATTTTAAAACCATCAGCATGTGTCCAGCCCTGTGCAAGTCAAGAGGAATAAACAGGATGAAGCCTGTTCTGGGACTTTACATGCTAGGCTGTAGTGGACAATAAACATACAGTAAAATAGGTTATTGTAAGAAGGGCTCTGAAGGAAGTCAATGCCTGTCCACATGTGCACGGGGTAGACCTCTGAGACGTTGTGATGTCACAGCTAGATTCTCGCTGTGTTGAGCCAAGACGGGGTGGGGATGCCTCCCCAGGCCAATGTAAAGGGCCATCTCAGATTCTAACCCTCTGTGTCAGGCCCAGGACCCCTCCTGCAGACCCCTCCTGATGCTCTGGTAGCCCCAGGTAAGGGAGTGGTGAATCATGAACCATGGAACTGGGAGTTTAGAGGAAATGGCAGCATTGTCTAGTAAATAACTGTAATGTACACTCTTTTGCCTACACCCTAATTAGCCCTGGTTTGCAGGTGAGTTGCTTTTCTTATAGAAGCAGTTCAGCCAGGGGGAGAAGACTATCTCTGGGTGTCAGCTTGGAAGAGGAGAAGCTGCCAGAACTGGACTAGCCCTGAGAATATCCCCAGAGGCCCCACTGTCACACCATACCCAATGGGTTGCTGCCCCTAGGTCTGAGCTCCAACCCCACCTCGCTGTGGGGAGGGGCCCTGTACAAGGCTTTTGTGCCTCCTCTAAGGGAATGGAGTTTGGGTCCTGTCTCTGTGGGAAAAGGCTCTTCACTGCAGGGCATGGAGCCCAACTGGGCCGAGTCTTACAAAATGTTCTGTTTCCTAAACAAACGTGTCATAAAGAAAGGGTGGGGCCGGGCAGGCACTGTTGACAAGGTAAGCTAGGGAAGAAGCTGCCAGAGGCTTTACTCCCTTGACTCTAGCTTAGTCTACTACATGTCCCTGTTGCATGTCATGTCTATACTAGGTATTTGGGCCCCAAGGCTCCTTTTTATGTCGCTAGAGTTGTGGTTGTTGGTCCAGGAATTTCCCATTCCGAGTAGGACCCAGGACTCGGTCCAGCTGACCTCCGAAGCACCTGGGCCAACTGAGCCCTGGTCCTCACACTCCTTGGACTGTCTTCCTGACATGTGGCAGATGTTTACACCCCCAGAAGACCAGGGGGACTTTGATCATCTAGGGTCATCTGCTCCCTCGCAGGTGTTTGCCCCACCTCATTTATTGACTGACAGTTTGCTTCAGTTCCTAGACCGGGATTCTGGGAGGCAGCCATCTCCAGAGCCAGATCCATTTGCTGTTGCACATCAGGAGGTGAGTGACGAGCTAAACCTGCCTGAGACCCCCAGAAGCGGTGCCGATGCCCAATAGGGAACAGAATCAGGGCCCCGTGTTAGGTTATGAGGCCGGACACCTTCTGAGAGGACAAAGGACACTCGAGACAAAGGAAAGTCACAAGGCGAGGTTTATTTCTAGCCAGCTAGGGTCCGAGCATCTGCCTGACGCAGCAGGTTTCAACAAGGACCCTGAGAGCAAAGTTTAAGCAGGTCTTATACTCTTTAAAGCATCAGTCATCATCACATAGGAATTCCTCATGCCCCTGGGGTCACATTTTCCTGATCTTGCCCACATTCTGATCTTGCCCACATCCTGGTGGTGGGGTAATATTATTTATTGGGAACTGGGGAAACACCAGAGGTTTACTTATCAGGTTACAAGGAATGCGTTCTCCCATAAATTAGGGGCTAGTAGTGGAATAGAAACCTAAGGTTTAGATAAGAACAGCAAGGGAGTCCTGTTTTGGAAAGTTTATTTACAAGTGGAGACAAAGAAAGGCAGGAATGGGTGCTTATCTCTGCATGGTGCCTTTCATCTCAGAACTTTTGCATGGCTCTAATGAGCAATTCCTCACAGCTCTGTCCGAGGTTACAGCTTTTAATTGACAGTTTACCGTATTTTACAACCCTGTGTCAAGTCTATCTTCCTCTTCACGAGGTTACCCAAGGGTCATGCCAGTTATAGCTGATTTCTAGGCTAGGTGGGCTGCAAGTTAAAGTACCCCAACACCCGCTCTGCCTCCTCCACTTGAAAGTAAGACTCAGACTGTCAGTTTAGAGCAGGCTTCAGACAGCCAAACATTTGATATACCTGTTCCACCTCTTCATCCTCAGAGATCAAAAGCAGCAAAGTTTATTTGCTGGAAACTGAAGAAGGATGCTGCTCAACATCAGAGACTTGATGAGACTGTGGCTGGAACTCCACACCAATTTGCAAACCTTCAGCTTCAGACACAGCCCTTGCAGGATGATTACACAGATCCAGAAATGAGCACAGCTGCTTCTGACAGCCCTCCTCTGAAACCCCAGGAGAGTACAGATGAGCCTCCAGAACCCTTTGAGCAAGTTGAACCTTCTGCAGTCCAGCAAGAAGCCCCAGTTCAACAACTCGGTAGTGAGGAAGTAGAGCAATCAGTACACCACGAGGTAAATGCTCCATCTCCAAATATGAACGAAGCTCAGCCTTCAAACGTGCTAAAAGGCACTGTGAAACATGTTGATCTGGAGGTTACACTAACTCCAGAGCCTTCTCTAAGCCAGCAGCAGGCCTCAGAGAGCACTGAGAATGTAACATCTTCATCCACCCAACAAGTGGCTCCAGCTCAGACTTCAGAGCTCCCTGAAGACACTGAAGCTTCTGGAAGCCAGATGGAAGCCCCAGTTCAGCCTACAGAGCCTCCGGAAGAAGTCAAACCTCCCGTTGAGCAAGAGGCTACCATTGAAGCTCCAGAGTCCCCTATGGAGAGTACAGCTCCAACTCCACCAAGTCAGGAGGTAACAGTTCAACCTCCAGCTCAGGATCAAGCTGATCAGAATATCTTGCCCAGCATTACAGGGAAGCCTGTGCATCTCCAACTTAGCATAACTGTACAACCTATTACTGAAGATGAGCTTTCTCCAGCCATGCAAGAGACCCCAGTTCAGCTTACAGAGCCCCCTATGGAGGTTGTACCTCAATCCCCAGTACAACAGGAGATGACAGTTCCAATACCAGGTCAGGATGAAGTTCCGTACCCAACATCACCCAGTGTCACATTTCAACCTTCAGACCTGGAATTAACCATAACTACAGAAACCACCACAGGAGCTGACCTTTCTCCCGTCATGCAGGAGACCTCAACTCAGCCTCCAGAGCCACCTGAGCACCCTGAGGTGACACTTCCACATCCAGTCCAGAATCAGGCTCAGCATCCCAACCTGAATGAAGTCACAGTTCAACCTTTAGCTCTAGGAGTTCCCTTAACTTCAGAGTCCAAACAGTCTACTACTCTGAAGAAGACAACAGCTCCTCCCCCAAAGGTGGAGGTGACACTTCCACAAGTCACGGTTAAGACTTTAAAGCTGGAGCTTACCAAATCTTCACAACCTACCACAGAGGTTAAACGTTCATCTATGCAGGAAACCTCAACTCAGCCTCCAAAGCCAGCTGCAGAGACTAAAATTCAGCCTTCAACATCAGGTCAAGATCAGGCTCAGCGTCCAACGTTGGCAGTTACAGAGGCAAATAACACCACAACTCCTCCTCCACAGCACCCTGAGGTGACACCTCCACATTCAGAACAGCTTCAGTCTGGTCTGGAACGTACCACTATTGCACATTCTGTAAATCCCACCACAGAAAGTGCGCTAACTGTGCAAACGGAACCGAATGCCACCCCGTACACCAACATATGTGAGCTCTGTACCTGTCGAGATGAGTCACTGTTGTGTGTTGGTCTCAGCCCAACGCAGAAGCTCCGCCGAGTGCCTGTGCCGAAGCCCAACACCTACAAGAAGGTCCTCACCACCCTGTAAGATCCACCTTTCCTCCCTTGTGCTCTGCACTCTGCCTGCATGGCAGCCTTTTCCTCAAGGTCTTCTGGGCCTTCCTCATCTCCCCAACCCACATGGACTGTCTGCTTTTACCTTTTGCTTATCAACTTTTCCTTGTCGGCGTTCTCCTTCTACCGTGGTTCCCTTCCCTGTTCTTTAACTCGCAATTGCCCTTTCTCTTTTTCCTTATCCACTTTTATTCAGCTGCTTCATATCACTGCTGAACCTTTGCTCTCCCAGTTTTGTTCCACCCTCTTTACAACTCATTTCTTTAGTGAGGAGTGAGGATACAACAAAGTGATTAAGAATACATCTGGAACTAGACTACCTGGGTTTCATTTATTAACTTTGCAAGCCTGAGGAAATTATTTAGCTCTGTGACTCAGTTTCCTCATCTGTGAAATGGGAATTATGATAATTACCATTTCATAGGATTGTTGTATGATTTAGATGAATGAGTGCATGTAATACTTACCTGAATACCTAGCACATATATGAATGTTAACTATTAATAATAATATTCAGTCCCTCAGTTATGTCCAAAACTCATTTTTGTCCTTAGATTTTCTATATATTGTGTCCATTTTGTGCCCAACCCAGGTCTAAGTTTTGTGGGAGTCACAGAATTATGGCATTGTCTCTGGAACATGAAAATGATAGATGTAAAGAAAGGAAAAAAAGGCAAAAAAGCGGAGATGGTATATAATGAAATGCTAAAAGAGAATCAGACACTAGCAGCTGTAATTCTTCAGAATCTGTAATCGCTGAGTTGTGGAGGTTATGGAAAAGTGTAGGATAAACTGAAACGTTACCTGGAACTTAGAGAGTAATTGTTAAATAGACAAAAAACATCCTAGGCAAAGGCATAGCTGCAGCAGTAACCAGGCTTTAGTAGAACAGTCTGCCTGCAAAGAATTGGGTTAGGAAGCAATGAAAGATATTATAAAAGACCTTGAATATGAACTGTAGGGGTTTGAAAGTTACAGTGAGATGTGGAGAGTCACTAAATGTTTCCGAGGAAGAGCGGCAAATGATTAAAGCAGGCGGATTTGTTGTTTGGTTTGATTTTGATTTTGGAGACAAAGTCTTGCTATATATATATATATATATATATATATATATATATATATATAGTCGAGGCTGTCCTGGAACTTGTTAAGTAGCTCAGGCTGGCCTTGAGCTCACTCTCCTCCTACCTCAGCCTCCCAAGCACTGTAAACAAACCATGATTCAAGAGAATTATTTTACAATTTTACAATCCCTACATAGGGTGATCTAGAGGGGAAAGGTTAATTCAAAGAGACTACCTAGAAATTGCTAGCAAAGTGGAGAGGTTAAGTACGAAGGGAGTAAGTCAGAGTTTGTGATGAGAATAGGCAGAAAATTCTGGGATTCCCTACATAGAAAGTGCACAGAGGATTTAGTGACTGATGAAAGAGTTGGGGCTCGGACTAAAGAGTTGAGAAAAATCAAACATGACTCCATAGTTTCTGTCCTGTTAGGATATGGATACCATGTGGAAACACAGCATTCCAGAAGGAGAGCCAGTTGGAGGGAATTGAGTTCAGTTTTAGGTCCTTTTGTTGGTAAGAAATTAGAAAGCTTGTGGTTGAGTGGAAATGTCCACTAGGCAGATGAGCTGGCTTCTTCTCTCCACCTCCAGAGAAAGTGTATGTAAACTGAATAGGAGAGTGTTGCTGAGGGGTAAGGACAGAATTAAAGGTAAATGTTCAGAGGTATCCAGAGTGAAACTGAACATAAGGTATTGAATAGCTTCTTTTTGGCAGAGGCTGGGGTTTGAACTCAGGGCTTCATGTGTGCAAAGCAGGCGCTCTACTGCTTGAGCCACATCTCCAGTCCATTTTACTCTTTTTATTTTGGTGATGGGGTCTCATGAACTATTTGCCTGGGTTGGCTTTGAAACCATGATCCTCCTGATCTCAGCTTCCCAAGTAGCTAGCATTAAAGGCATGAGCCACTGGAGCCTGGTTTAACAGCTTCTTTTAATCATGTGTTACCCGAGGATACATTCCCACTTTTAAAAAAAGTCTCAGAAGCTGGTGTGGTGGCTCACATGTTTAATCCCGCCACTCCAGAGGCTGAAACAGGAGAGTCTGAACTTCGAGGCCAGTCTTGACTACATAGCAAGACTGTCTCCAAAATACAAATGGTCAGGGATGTAGCTGCGTGGTAGAGCACTTGCCTAGCATTTTCAGATTGCCTGTGTTCAATCCCCAGCACCTCCAAGGGTCAAAGAAGTATATAGGAAAAATATGAAAGTATGCAGCCCCCCTCATACCACTCTTCCATGCCTACCGCCCATAAGATAACCCCTGTTATACACCCCTGTGTGTCCTTCCTTCTTCTTTCTCTCCTTTGCAGTTTCTCCCTAATGAGGTAATACTTCCATTCTTTCTCAGATTTGTGCTTTCCCTTATTCAGCAGAGCGCTTTCCACATCATCACATGAATTTCCCTCATTTCTACTTGTCCTCACCCTTCAGGGTTGCACTTCCTTCTTTCTATGTGCTCAACCTTCCTAAGATCATTTAGGCAAAGCTTTGGTGTTACCTGGCAGAGTTTCTTTATTCTTATTTGCTAATAATGATAAAAACTATTGCCCATTGTCCTGTGGAATTATGTATCCTTTTCTCACTGATTGGTAGGAGTCAGTTTAAACACACATCATTTTGAGAAAAACACTTAAATCCAAAGTAATTGACTTGCATTATATATGTAAGAGATTGGACAGTTGGGAGTTAAGCTTCTGATGAGAGGCCTCATCATTCATGCCACTCTTCCCACTTTATTTCTTTATTAATTGCAATCTGAAAAACTGGGAGTTCTGGACGTTAGAAAGCTGGTATGTTTTCCTGTATTTGAATATCCCCTCCCCCAGGTTGCAATGATTCTTTCACTTATTCTGCTCATTATTTTCCTACTTATTCAAGGTTATAAACTGTCTCTTCACAGAAATTTCCATGGAAACGCTATTGATTACATTGATAAAAATACATGGAAAGCCTATCGTTGGACTGAGAAACTGTGAGTATTTTCTTTCCAAATATGAATACAAAAACTGCATTGTAAGAGCCTCCTTGGTTCAGAATTTTGAGGTCAGTATCTCTGAGAAAATGTATTTCCCCTCCACATCCTACATTGACCTCTATTGATGGAAATTATGTGTTATTTTAAACATCAAATTTTATAGGGACTGGGGGTTATAGCTCAGTGGTAGAGCACTTGTCTTTCATGTTAGCCAAAATGAAAATAAAATACAAACTTTCATGGTTCCTCTTTGAAATAAGAAACAATTTAAATTGATTTTCCATTGTACAAGTAATACAAATGAAATAGCAGGTACAGTGAAAACCCTCCTTCCCATAATCCCCCACTATTGAGGTAATGACTACTCTGAATTTGCTACCTATCCTTCCATATCTTTTCCCATGCATATATACATATTTACACACAGATTATTTTGTGTGATTTTCACATCTCTTTTTACATAAATGCTAACATCCTGCAACTTGATTGTTTCTCTTCACTATGTCATGTTTCTTTCCTTCCCTGTACATAGAAGTTTCCCTATTAATTTAAACTCCTGCACAATATTCCATAGTATGGACACATCATAGTTGATTTCATAATCCCTTATTTTTTTTAGAGCATGTCAGGTTCTCCTGTTGCACTCATAGCTACAGTGAACAACCCTGTATATACTTCTTTGTGAGCATGGACAAGTATTGCTGTACAATAGGGATCTAGGAATGGGATGGTTAAGGTGAAGACTATTATAGACAGGGAATTTTAATTGCCCTCCAAAAAGTGGTGCCAACTTACACACCAGGGAACAGAATATGACAGTACCCATTTCCCCATACCTTTCATCACTCGATACTCTCTCTCTTTTTGATGAATTTTGATCCTGCGATAACCTTTCATCTTCCAGAATTCTCAGTGAAAATCGCCTGACTGAATTACGTAAGGATTCATTTGAAGGCCTGCTGTCCCTTGAGTATTTGTAAGTTAGTCAGTTGATCATATTTATTTGTGAGTTACTATCTATGAAATGTATAAAGGGTTCAAATGAGATAATTTCTGAAATCTCCAGCAAAAAAAATTCTGCACTTGTGTAAGTCTGTGTGGGTCTCAGACTATCTCTGGCATTAAATACTCCCTATACATTTTTAGATTTCTAAAAATTATATAGATAAGAGAGATGTAAAAACAAAATACTCCACTTACAGCAGAAAACGGGTAATAAGGCCTGAGCAATTATGGTGCTCATATGAACCTTATTTTATAAGTGTTCCTATGCCATATACTTCTTGTATTTATATTTAGTCTACAGCCCATGGGTCAAATCTAATCCACATGCTTTTGTGTAGCTCATAAGTTAAGAATTGGGTTTTTTGTTGTCGTTGTTGTTTTTCTTTTTACATTTTTAAGGAGCTTATCTGAGTCACTTTTTTGGTCACTGTAACCAAATGCCTGGTAAAGGAGCAAAGACACATTTTGGCTCAGTTGAGTGGTTTCGGTCTGTACCTGCACTCTCCATTGTTTTGGGGCCTCTGGGAGGCAAAGGTGTGGAGGACAAGGCTGCTAACCTCACGGCAGCCAGGAAGCAGCAAGAGGGAAGAAAGAGGGTCTTGGTCAAAGGCATGCTCCTAGCGACCTGCTCCTTCCACCTTAGCCTCACTTTCTAATCGCTCATTCAGCTCTGAGCTTCTCAGTGGGTGAATCCATCAATGAAGTCAGTGTCCTCAAGATTCAATCACCTCTCACACCACCTGTTGGTGACCAAGTCTTTAACATGTGAGCCATTTGGGGGGACACTTCATATCCAAACTTAGAAGGGTTATAAAAAAAAAAAAAAGAAGAGAACTCAGGACCGTGCACTATAGACAGGAACTCCACCACTTGAGCATGACTCTAGCCCTTGTTATACCCATAATAAAAGTATCCCTCAAGATCTACAGTGAATGTTTTATTTATGAAAATCACGAAGGTGAGATTCTTAGGTGGGAGCAGGATTAGGGGGCTCTAGAAAGTTCAAATACAAATCCAAAGTTTAGAGTTTAGAAAAAATTATGTTTTCAATATTATTGAGTCTAAATTCTATCTATTCATGCTAATTAGATACCTAATAGCTAATCAATGCAATGTTTTCTTTTACTTTTCCTAGAGATTTATCCTGCAATAAAATACAGTATATTGAAAGACGGACATTTGAATCACTACCTTTTTTGAAATTCGTGTAAGTTACTTCATTATGCCTGGAATCTTGCTACTCATTTTGAAAGATAATTAAAATTTTGCTAGTAGAAAGTTACTAAAATTAATTAGCAGGTTCTTTAGTCTGCACCAAAGATGACAGTGAGAATCATTACAGGTCAGAGTGAACAGTCCAGAGCAGTGCTTCTCCATCAGTGTGACTTTACCCCCAGGTGACACCTGGCAGCTGTGGATATGCTATTGGCACCTAGTGGGCAGACAATAGGGATGCTACTGAATATCCTGCAATGGACACAGAATTGTCCATAAATGACAAATGTCAAAGAAATGTCCAAAATGTCAATAGCACTGAAGTTGTGAAACCCTGTTGTAGAGAAATAAAGATCACTTAACACAAGTAATCATTGAGCATTCACTCTTTTGTATCTAATGCACTGCATTTGTAAATGTTAAAGTATAAATCATAAGCCAGTATCATCCATAGTGAGATTCCTTTAAGGTATGTGAAAAGTATTGATGTTATAATTCATCATATGTAAGTTAGAGTCACTGCCAATGATAAGTGTTCTGAAAGAATATCTTTTTCCTCTCCTTCTTTGGCTTTTTTTTTTTTTGTAGAAATCTTGGTTGCAATTTAATCACTGAATTGAACTTTGGAACATTTCAAGCATGGCATGGAATGCAGTTTTTACACCAAGTGTAAGTGGAATAGAAGACAAACATGTTTCAAACTTATTTGTGTCTTAAAAAAAAAAAACTCATAACATTACTGTTAGCTAGGTGTAAGCCCTGTACAAATTCTGTGAATAGTATGTCTTGATGCATTCCATTTTTTCAAATAAGGAAACTAACGTACAACAGGTAAGAGCCTTGTGTGACTTATATATGACATGCTCTGCTTTCCCTAGTACTGATCTTTGGCAGGGGCACTGGAGACATCATGCAAGTAACACTCAAATTGGCACAGTCATGGTCCCCCATGGTGCCGCTCTGACATGTGAATGGTCCTTGAAGTTTCACTCACAAGCTGAACACTGATTCCTTCTCACATGCAGAGTTCCTAACTGCTTAAATGTTTGCAATGTATAGCTGCTTACAGAGCGCCAAGTTTAACACAGAATCCTCCAGCAAGCAAATGGGGTGGGTGCTTTCTCAATGTCAGTTTCTTCTAAATGACAAATCAAAAGAATTCTAAAAACCTGCCATAGGGCACCTCTCCCCTCAGAACATTATTTTTCAAGAAAAAGATGGTGCTGGCAGAGTGGCTCATATAATAAGAGCACCTGCCTAGCAAGTGTGAGGCCCTGAGTTCAAACCCTGGTCCCACCAAAAAAGAAAGAAAAAGATGGTGTTTGTATTAAGCTTTATGGTGAAAAATATTAATAGGAATATACACTGCTCTAGCCTGACTCCATATACCTTTTTTTTCCTTACTACCTTCAACAAGAAATGTGGAGTTTAATATCTTTTCAGCTCAAAAATTCTATGATGTGCTGGGTGCCATAACCCATGCCTGTAATCCTAGCTACTCACAAGCATAAATGGGATGATCACAGTACAGTTCATGCCTGGGCATAAACATGAGACCTCATTGGAAAAATAACTAAAGTAAAAAGGGTTGGGGATGTGGCTCAAGTAGTAGAGCACCTGCCTAGCAAGCATAAGGCCCTGAGTTCAATCCCCACTACCAAAAAAATAATAACAGTAAAAGTTTAAAAACTCTCTGCTGTTCACAAGCACACATTTGTAATCCCAGCACTTGTGAGGCCTAGGCAGAAGGATCTCAAGTTCAAGGCTACCCTGGACTACATAGGAAGACCTTGTTTAAAAAAACAAAAAAAGCAAAATAAAACCTGTGATGTTGAAGAGCCTGAAGGTCATCTGAGACTCCAGATGGACAATTTTTACCTTGAGTCTCCAAACCCAACTTTGGGAAAGGTCATCCACCTGCCTCGTGCATCAGAAATCCAGGTTCCCAAGTTCCCTTCTGGTTGGAGGGAGGGTTGAGATTTGCCTGGAGGTGGATTAACTGCTCTTACAGATGGTCCTGTGTAGCAGCCTCCTTTATCCCTTCACTAATTTGCTGATGCCTATTTGGGGAAAGAACCCTAGGGGTCTTTGCTTTCCAGTCAAAGTAGGGATGGGTATTCGGTTAGTTAAGACTCATAAAGGAGGATGCACCAACTTGTTATTTCTAGTTACTGTGTTACTTCAGAGGAAAAGACATTTGTTTCCTGGTGATGAGAAAATCAGAAGAGATAGCACATGGCTCAAATAGTACAGTGACTGCTTACCAAGCACAAGGCCCTGAGTTCAAATCCCAGTGTTGACTGGTATTAGATTTACCCCTGGGTGCCAGGTAATTACAACCCAGTAAATCTCTTGAGTAAAGCCTCCATGTTACTGAAAAACAATAACCCAACAAGTTAGCAACATGTTAGGGCCCAAATCCACCATAAAGGGGAGCCAAAAGCTCATTAGCAAACCACCATTCTTCGAATGGTCATAGTAATCCTATCTCTGTTTCAGATGAAATCAGGAATGAAACACAGAACACCAGTAGTGGTTAAGTGTAATTTTCCCCCAACTTTAAGGTGCTTCTCCTTCATTCTCCTACAGAGGTCCAGACTGATAGCTTAGTTTTTAAAATTCTTTTAGTTGCTTCATTGGTTCTGACAACACAAGTGCCACTATTTTAGAAACTGAAGGATTCTACCAAGTAGAAAGGATATACCTTATTTGGATAGAGCATTTTCACAGGGCTTGTCTGCCTCTTCAGGATTGTGCCAAGATCACAAAGCACTAAGAGAGACAAAGAGGGAAATCCAGGCTTTATTCCTGTTGAACTACTTGTTCCACTATAGAGAATATCCACAAGCAGGAGCGGCCACACTACGAAGGCAAACTGAGCTGCAGTCTCACAAACACCCTGTTGCTTCCTCCCAGACCGCTAGCATTGCTTCCTACAGATAGCTTAGGTGCCTAAAAATTGGCACGCTGCAGGCTGCGGTCATCGCTTTTGATTTGTACTGGAATCCCGGCAGCTTCTCAGGTTGAGAGAGGGCAAATCACTAAAGATGAAAATAACAGCTCGGGTCTGTCCTTTGGGATGATTTAGGTTGGTTGCTTAATTTGTAAATGTTCAAAAGTTTTGAATAATCAATTGTTCAAAATAAGGTATCCAAATAAGGAATATCCTTTTCCCCTGGCAGACCCTTCAGTTTCTAAAATCATGGAGCTTGTTGTTACACACACACACACATAAGTGGCATGGGGCATTACCTGTCTTCTGGCTACTTCCTGCTGGCTAGGGGCAATGTGGGGGGTTGTTGAGTCTGGAAAGTTTGTAGAAGCATGATGGCCTTGAACTGCTCCCCTGAGATAGCCCGAGAAATGGCAGTAATACATTCCTGTAACAGTTTTTAGAGGGTACTAATGAGGCATGGTAGGAACATTACAGCCAGACAAACAAGAATGAGAGAGGGACCACCAGCAGGATAAGCCATGGGTACAAGGAGGAAAGAATATTAGTAGGCTGTACAGATGTTAGCTGTTGTGCTCTGTCCCTGAGTTTTTTTTTTTTATCCTGTCCCTAACTATGCCAGACTTACTGGTGAAGAAACAACAATCCTCGTTTAGGAAGAGGCATAGCCTGCCTTTTTCAGCTGTGAGGAGATCTAATCCCCTCCTGTTTTGAAGGCAAGGTCACAATGGGAAAAATAAGGAGTCCCAGTAGAGGGAAGACCCGTGGCATCCACTTAGCCCAGGAAGACCACTGTTCCCAGCTGTCTGTTGTTCACTGTTGGAGATTGGCATTGAGTTCCTGACGTAAAAGCAGCATCCTTTGTGCGTGGTCTGAGTGGTAGCCTGTCTAAAGAAATGTACCCTTTGGGAGACGAAGTGAGCCTTGACACATGGGCCAGCTATCAGCATGAGAAGGAAAACCAAGGGACCTTGGGGTACAGACCTTGGCTATAAGTTTAAGTAGGCAAAGGAACTGGGGGCAGGGGACAAAGGTATATATAGTAAACGGTTCCAGTCACAGGTGTGGCCTGGTTGGTCATTACCTCAGTCTTTGTTTTGGGAGAGGTTCCAGAGTTGTTATCTGGAGGGTAGAAGCAGTTTAGGTCTAAAACTAGAAACACCTGCTTCGAATGCAGAGGAAGTAAAAGTCAGAATGCTCCCAGTTAAACAGACTGCCTAAGGGAAGATAACTCCATGAGCATGGGCTACTAAAAAGATAAGTTTGGAGCCAGCAAAAATAATGTCTTTTTACCTAAAATGAAGGCCTTGGCCAAAAATATGAGTTTGCCTTCTGTCAGAGGTGCTGCAAAGGCTTGAGTGACCAGTAGCCCTGCATAAGATCTTTAAAACCTCTCAGCTTTAGTAACTTTTGTGAGGTCTGGCACAGGGGAGTCCATCCGGATTGTGAAGCTTTTCCCTCTCGTCTCCAAACTCTCTCTGAAGAGAGTTAATTAATCTCTCTGAAGATTTTGTTAATTAACCATCTGGTTAATGAGAGTCACTTGGTGCAGGAATACCTTCTCCTGGATGTTCTCGGCATTGGAGGGGAAGCTTCAGGCAGGTCAGGTGGGAATCAGTGCCAGATAAGACCCATTTGCCCAAACAATAAGAAACAAAAGAGGTTTAGAAGAAATGGGCCTACCTGGCATTCATTTTTAGTTCTGCTTGGACTATAGATGATATCCTGACAACTTAAAAATGCTGCAGAATGTTAACAGACAATAGTTAAAGATTTTGAAAAAAAAAAGCCAGCAAAAGTAAATATCTAGAAGGCTGACTCAATTGAAAAATAGGTACTAGGTAGAGTTATTTTGGGTTGGATTGCAAATGCTCCAAAGAGGGACCCAGACTGAGAATGACAAGACTTAGAATAGCCATAGTTAAAATGCTGAAAAATAGTTTGGGAATTGTCAGAACATTTAGTTATCTCCTTTGTGGACCACATTTTTAGGAAAATAATTATGACTGATAGTATAAAAACATCAGCACTAAATGCTCTTTGTTACAGTTAGGAACATATGGACACAAGCTTGCAAAAGTCTAGCATCCTTAACTTTAGATCTCTTACAAGTTAGGGGGACAATGCCTGTGATCCCAAATAGCCTTATTTTCTAATGTACAAGTATATTTCATACATACACAGTAACACTTACTTGACTAAAACTAATATAGGCCAGGTTCTAAGTAGTAGGACTGCCCAAATAGAAAGGTTTTGCTGACTGTTACTGATAACAAACAGCACACCTGCCAAAAGTTTCATTAACCATTTTCTATGTCAAAGGTTTCGATGTAACGCTTTTGGATAAAGAACTTTGGCTGTTTAGTTAAATTTAATGCTTTTTGATATGAGAGCTTTAGCTCATCATTTTACATAAATTGACACTTTTAACTTTGCAAATGTTTGTACAATACTTAAAGTCTAGACATAGAACACAGTAATAAGGTGATCATGTAAGAGCCCTTTGCATGAGCAAATACGTAAATGAACTCTGATTTAGTAGTACTTAAAGCTTGATAAAATCTTTCCTTATAACAATTTTTTGCAGATGTTACTCAGAGCAGAAAAATATTAAGATAGCCTTGTTTTATGGGCATAGAGAATTAGATTTTAGTTTGACATGAACCTAGAAAATCTTTTAGGCAACTCTTAGATTATAGTCAACTTTTAACTTTATCACATACCGAAGCTTTTATTATACACTTTTAAGACTTACTCAGAACCTTCATATAACA